AATAAAAAGTCAATTTTGGTTTGAAATCGTTCATCTGATAGACATGAGACTTTGGGGAGTTCATAATAACACTCTAAGGAAGGGTTCTGTAAAAAAATATTTTTTTAATTTCGCAAGGGCGGCGCCAAGGGAGGGTGCGATTTTTCTCTATATACGGTATATAAAGATAATAAAAGTGAATTGCCGTGACACCGTTCAAACGATCGCCATGAAACTTTAGGAAGTTGTTGAGAATATTCCTGGGGAGGTGTCTGCGAAAAAAATATTTCAAATTCGCAGGGGTGGCGCCATGAAACGGCGCGATTTGTTTTTTTCAATATACGGTATATAAAATTAAAGTCGATTTTGGTTTCGCATCGTTCATCCGATAGCCATGAGACTTTGGGGAGTTCATTATACCACTCTAGGGAAGGGTCCTGTAAAAAATAATTTTTAATTTCACAAGGGCGGCGCCATGGGAGGGTACGATTTTTCTCTATGTACGGTATATAAAAAATAATAAAAGTGAATTGCAGTGACACCGTTTATCCGATAGGCATGAAACTTTGGGGAGTTCATTATAAAAATCTAGGGAAGGGTTCTGTAAAAAATATTTTTCATTTCGCAAGGGCGGCACCACGGGAGGGTGCGATTTTTCTCTATATTCGGTTTATAAAAATAAGTCGATTTTGGTGTGACACCGTTATCCGATAGCCATGAGACTTTGAGGAAGTTGATTAGAACAATTCAGGGAAGGGTTCTGTAAAAAAAATAATACTTTTTTTAATTTCGCAAGGGCGGCGCCACGGGCGGCTGCGATTTTTCTCTATATACGGTTTATAAAATTTCGGTTTCACACCGTTCATCCGTGTACCATGAAACTTTGGGGAGATGATTAGATCACTCAATGGTAGGGTTCTGCAAAAAAATATTGTTTAATATTGCAAGGGCGGCGCCCCCCGGGGGGAGCGATTTTTTTCTCTATACACGGTATATAAAAAATAAAACTTGGATGCGTTTCATCCGAGTGCCATGAAACTTTAGGGAGTAGATGAGAATACTCCCGAGAATATTTTCTGGGCGGCGCCATATATGGTACAACTTTCGTCAATACACGGTTTGGGGCCCAGAGTTTTAGAGCGACGATGTTAGCACTTGGCATCCGTTAATCGGGTGTCCTGCATCGCGAGAAAGCGGTACAACTATATTCAGCCATACAACTAGAACAGGCTTCTAAAAATAACTTTGTAACGCGAAGGAAATCTTTCTGTCCGGTTTCGTCACCTTGCGAAAGATGAAAAAATAACTTTTTGAATATGAGGAGCCTACTGTAGAGTTTCGTCACTTTTCGAATGATGCAATAAGCGTCTACTATTAGGCAATCCAGTCAGAAATTGAGATCGAGCATCTAATAATAGACCATTAGTAACGCTAGCATATTGCATCAGTCACACTGATGTTTAAAACATGTCAAATACTTTTTTACGTGTTAAAGAAAAAAAGCCTGTTCATTTTTGGGATTTTAGCGAATGATGAAATCTGCATCATTATTAACAGGATGCTATTTGGTACGATGGCGCCTATTACTTTTAAGGAGCCAGGGGTCGTACGCCGCGCCTATGCGGTATTGTAATCGGGGGGGGGGGGGGGGGGGTGGGGGCCCTGAGAGCGCCCCTGTACGTCTTGGTCACCGAAGTGTGTTCTACCATATTATTTCGGTGAGTGATTAATGTACACTCAAGGTTTTCATGCGGTAGTGTAGGTAAACCCGTGTCCTGATATTTATGATCCAAGAACAGGCATTGTTTATATTTAAATAACTAATTTTAGAAAAGAAGGTCACGCGTCTAAGAACATATAATTATAATTGATAACGCATTGGTGAAATCCTAATATATTTCGTTAAACGTTCTTCTATCCCCGCGGCAACGCGCGGGGGTCGGGTACGCTAGTATAAAAAAAGCAATGTATGTGTGTGTGTTTGTTTGTTTGTTTGTCTGTCCTTTATGCATTACTACACCTCTCATCACATCGCCGTGAAACTTTGGGAAGTTGTTGAGAATATTCCTGGGGAGGTTTCTGCGAAAAAAAAATTTTCAAATTCGCAGGGGTGGCGCCCCGGCAGGGCGCGATTTGTTTTTTCTCTATATACGGTATATAAAAATAAAAGTCTATTTTGATTTCACACTGTTCATCCGATAGGCATGAAACTTTGGGGAGTTCGTTATAACCCTCTAGGAAAGGGTTATGTAAAAAAATAATTTTTTAATTTCGCAAGGGCGGCGCCACAGGAGGGTGCTATTTTTCTCTCTAATACGTATATAAAAAAATAATAGTGAATTGCGGTGACACCGTTCACACGATCGCCATGAAACTTTGGGAACATGTAGAGAAAATAACTGGGGAGATTTCTGCGCTAAAAACATTTTCAAATTTGCAGGGGTGGCGCCCCGGCAGGGCGCGATTTGTTTTTTTCTCTTTATGCGGTATATAAAAATAATAAAAGTGAATTGAGGTGACACCGTTCACACGATCGCCATGAAACTTTGGGGAGTTCATTATAAAACTCTAGAAAAGGGTTCTGTAAAAATCATTTTTAATTTTGCAAGGGCGGCGCCACGGCAGGGTGCGATTTTTCTCTATATACGGTATATAAAAATAAGAGTCGATTTTGGTGTGACACCGTTATCCGATAGCAATGAGACTTTGAGGGAGATGATTAGAACAATTCAGGGAAGGGTTCTGTAAAAAAATAATTTTTAATTTCGCAAGGGCGGCGCCAGGGGAGGGTCCAATTTTTCTCTTTTTACGGTATTTTAAAAATAATAGAAGTGAATCGCAGTGACACCGTTTATCCGATAGGCATGAGACTTTGGGGAGTTCATTATAAAACTCTAGGGAAGGGTTCTGTAAACAATCATTTTTAATTTCGCAAGGACGGCGCCACGGGAGGGTGCGATTTTTCTCTATATACGGTTTATAAAAATAAGTCGATTTTGGTGTGACACCGTTATCCGATAGCCATGAGACTTTGGGGGAGTTGATTAGAACGATTCAGGGAAGGGTTCTGTAAAAAAAACCTTTATTAATTTCGCAAGGGCGGCGCCACGGGCGGCTGCGATTTTTCTCTATATACGGTTTATAAAATTTCGTTTTCACACCGTTCATCCGTGTACCATGAAACTTTGGGGAGATGATTAGATCACTCAATGGTAGGGTTCTGCAAAAAATATTGTTTTATATTGCAAGGGCGGCGCACCACCGAGGGGGGGGGGGGGGTGAGCGATTTTTTTTCTCTATACACGGTATATAAAATATAAAACTCGGATGCGGTTGATCCGAGTGCCATGAAACTTTAGGGAGTAGAAGATCTAGATGAGAATACTCCCGAGAATATTTCTGCGATAAAAAAAAAACTAAAGTTTCTTACGGGCGGCTCCATATAGGGTACAACTTTCGTCAATACACGGTTTGGCGCCGAGTTTTAGAGCGACTAAGTTGGCACTTGACATCCGTTAATCGAGCGTCCTGCATAGCGAGTAAGGGGTACTACTATATTCAGCGGTAAAACTACAACAGGCTTCTAAAAATAACTTTGTAACGCGAGGAAACCCTGTACAGTTTCGTCACCTTGCGAAAGATGAAAAAATAACGGTTTGAATATGAGGAACCTACTGTAGAGTTTCGTCACTTTGCGAATGATGCAATAAGCATCTATTATTAGACGATCCAGGCCGAAATTGAGACCGAGCATCTAATAATAGACCATTAGTAACGCTAGCATATTGCATCAGACAAACTTATGTTGAAAACACGTCAAATAATTTTTGTATGTGTTAAAGAAAAAAATCCTGTTCATTTGTGTCACTTTAGCGAATGACGAAATCTGCATCATTGTTTACAGGATGCTATTTGGCACGCTGGGTTATCCTATGAGCACGATGGCGCCTGTTAGTTTTAAGGAGCCAGGGGCCTTACGCTGCACCTCTGCGGTAGTGTAATCGGGGGGTGGGGGGGGGCTCCTGAGAGCGCCCCTCTACGTCCCTGACATATGGGTGGTCACCGAAGTGTGTTCTAACTAATTATTTCGGTGAGTGATTATTATACACTCAAGGTTTTCATGCGGTAGTGTAGGAAAACCCGTGTCCCGATAATTATTATCCAAGCGCAGGCATTGTTAACATTTAAATAACACAGTTTTAGAAAACAAGGTGACGCGTGTAAGAACATATGATTGGTAATGCATTGGTGATATCCTTCTAATATATTTCGTCAGACTTTATTCTATCCCCGCGGCAACGCGCGGGGGACGGGTACGCTAGTATATATATATATATATATATATATATATATATATATATATATATATATATATATATATATATATATATATATATATATATATATATATATATATATATATATATATATATATATATATATATATATATAATTAAGGCAATGTATGTGTATGTATGTGTATGTATGTGTGTCTGTCTTTTATGCATTACTAAACCTTTCATTAGACCTCCATGAAACTTTGGGAAGTTGATGAGAATATTGCTGGGGAGGTTTATGCGAAAAAAAATTCATTAAAAAACGTTTTAATAACAAGCTTTTATGTAATAATGCACTAAAAAGTAGAAAATAAATTATAGACTACTATTTAAATTACTATAAAGAAAAGCGTGGATGTGAATCATATCGGTCAAGTAGAACTGTCCGAATTTTCACTCCTGCGTTTCTATCTAGACTGACGACGGACTGACGACTGACGACAGAGGAAGTGAGTTAAATAAAAGCTTGTAAAAGCTTGTAAAAAAAATCAAATTTGCTGGGTTGGTTCCCGGCAGGGCGCGATTTGTTTTTTCTCTATATACGGAATATAAATGTAACCCTCACTCAGTGGGGTGTTGTGGTTAAGACGGGCTGACCATGAGATTAAGGACAAATTCAAGCGCCGCTGTTGTCCACTAATTGATTTTATTCAACAGTACTTCGAGCCATGACGGCGATGTAGATCAACAGTAGTACACGACGATTAGAGATAAGAGATAATGAAACAAACCAAAAGAAGAAAAACTGTAGTCCTAAAACAAATGTAAACAAAAGGTTACATCAATGATAATACCACGTGTAGGCTACAAACATACACGGGTGCAATAAAATATGTTGCGGTCAGTACACAGTACTGCCAACAAGTACAAATAAGTAGTACAATAATAAATACTTAAATAAATACTCACCCTAACTAGTTGCAACATGCAGCACTAGTAGGAATACACAACTAAGTATTCTAGCAATAAACATAATTTATATAACCACACTACCTTCATTAGGTCTACCTCTTGGTACCGTCACCCTCCTTGTCCACAGACAGCAGCCTTGCGTGTGACTGACACGGCTAGGCACGAAACTACCCATAGTCCCATGTCACAAGACATGGGACACAGGTAAAATCGCTCACAGAAGAGCATACAAAACAACTACATCAACAGGGCTACTATCCCAAAGGGGCCACAACTCAATGAACTAAAACGTTATTCTTATCCCCCCCTTGGCTGGTAACCATAAAAATAAAAGTCGATTGTGGTTGGACACCGTTCATGCGAGTGCCATGAAACTTTGGGGAGTCGATGTTAATGCTCCCAAGAACGTTTTTATGAACAAAAGAATACAAATTTGATATGGGCGTCGCCCGCGAGGGTGCGATTTTCGTCAATACACAATCTGGCACCCAGAGTTCCAGAGCGGCTTTGTTAGCACTTGGCATCCTTTAATCGTCCGTCCTGCAAAGCGGGTAAGTTGTACTACTATATTCAGCGTTAAAACTTCAAAAGGCGCAACTGCCAAAGCCCTTTAGATTTCACGACCCAAAGCGCCCCGTGCTACCCTGCGAGCACTATGGCGCCTACGTTAGTTTTAAGGAGCCACGGACCGTATGCGGTGCCCCTGCAGTGGTGTAATCGGGAGCTCCCGAGAGAGCCCCTCTACGTCCCTCACACATGGGTTGTCACCAAAGTGTGTTCTATCTCACTATTACGGTGAGTGACTAACTTACTCTCAAGGTTTTTATGCGGTAGTGTAGGTAAACCCGTGTCCCGATATTTATGATCCAAGCGCAGTCATTGTTTACATTTAAATAACTCATTTTTAGAAAAGAAGGTCAGATTTCTAAGAATATAAGATTGGTAAAACATTGGTCAAACCCTTCTTACATATTTGGTCAGACTTTCTGCTATCCCCGTGGCAACGTGCGGGGACGGGCGCGCAAGTATATATATAATATTTATCTATCGATTAAACGCAAAGAATGTGTCTATCTTTTATGCATTACTACACCTTTCACCCTATCGCCATAAAACTTTGGTGAGTTAATACGGACATTCCAGAGAGGTTTCTACGGGGAAAAAAAGTTCACACTGGCGGCGCCCCGAGATGATTAACTTGTGCTCTCAGTGCTATCCCGAAAGTGTTATGGCACCTACGTTAGTTTTAAGGAGCAGCCTACAATATTGACAAGGTGGCACACGACATTCGATGATTAAACCGAGCCACGGGACGTACGAGAAGCCCCTGCGGTAGTGTATATGGAGTTTCCCGAGAGCGCCCATCTATGTCCCTGATACCTGGGCGGTCGCTGAAGTGTGTTCTACCTCACAATTAAGGAGAGTGGTGAACGTGCACTCAAGGCTTTCATACACCACGCCCAGTGGCGTAGCGAGGTCGGGTGTCACCCGGTGCGGCACTTAATGGTGTCACCCCCCAGAGGCGCAACGACCCTTCTATTTTCGATTTACACCCCTCCCCTCAACCTTCAATTTGCACCCCCCCCTCAAACTTTCGATTTGCACCCCCACCTCTTAAAAGGCTATTTAACACTCTAATTAATCACTCTATTAAGTGGAATTATCATTTTTCTCTATATATTTTGCTATTTTTTGCCTTGGTGTCACCCCCCCTAAATGGTGTCACCCGGTGCGGTCCGCACCCCCGCACCCCCCTGGCTACGCCCCTGAAAACGCCCTTGGGTAGTGTAGGTAAACCCCTGCCCCGATATCATCCAAAAGATATAGCTCAGACATTGTTTACATTTAATAACTCAGTTTTAGAAAACAATATCACACGTCGAAGAATATAGGAATTGTAACACATTGATGTAACTCTCTTAAAATATTCCGTCAGACGTTCTTCTAACTCCGCGGCAACGCGCAGACGGGCACGCTAGTATAATAAATAATTGTGTTGGAGGAAATCCCCTTCAATATTATCCAGAAAGAAAGAAAAAGCTGCATTACAAGTGGGTTAAAATTGACTAAATAGACTTAGACTTACCGCTGGTGTGGCTGCAGCAGTTATATCGATGAAATCTCCCACATTATAACCATAACAGTGTGCTGTCAAATAGAACATATATATAATATATATACTAGCTACATACCCGTGCCCGCCACGATGAATCTTTTTTAAAAGTACCAACTTGGGAAAATAACAAAACTAAACACAAACACAAAAGAAAACTAAAACGTAAAAAACAAACGCAAACACAAACACAACACAAACACAAAAGAAAACACAAACACAAAAGAAAACGCAAACACAAACACAATGCAAACACAAACAGACGAACACAAACACAAAAGAAATAGCAAACGAAAACACAAACACAAACACAAAAGAAAGCAATCACAAACACAATACAAACGCAGACACGAACGCAACACGCAAAACGCATAACATAAACACAACTTAAATGCAAACATAAACACATAGTGCTCACAGTCTAGAAAAAGGCGCTATATCGCACCTTTCCCGGGCGCCGGCGAATGCGCATGATTCTATTTAGTGAGCGACTACCAAAAAAACCCCACAGCTTGTCCATTTACCGAAAGATAGAAGTAAACATACAGGAAATTTAGGAGCGGCGACTAAACGGTTATTGATTAAAAATCATAATTATTAAACTATGCGTTCAGTAAATAAAATAAATAAAAGGTAGTATTTAAAATATCCTTGGTTTACCTACCATATTGCCCTTTTTCAATCCATGCTAATTACAATATTATAATATTTTAAAAATACTTCACATTTTTATTTTCTCGTATATACAAACTATAGAGAAAGTATAGTAATCGAGCAAAAAAAATCGAGATTTTTGTAAATCGCGACGTTTTACACCTCCCTGAATCGGAAAAACATAGTTTTGCAATCTTGTCCGTATGCCTGTGTGTATATGTTTGATTGTGTGTGTGTTTGTGTGTGTGTCTGTAAACACGATAACTTGATTACCGTTATAGCTGATGAAATTTCATATATAAGTATTATATCAAATTTGTAGTTCCGTATCATTTTTTGAGCGATTTCCGTTTATCAAAAGTTCAAGTTTGAATTTTTCAGAAGCCAATAACTTGAGTACTATTTCAGATAGATAAAGGAAATTTCACATGTAAACATAGGATTTAGTTATCTTCCTTTTTTTAAAATTTTGAGTAATTTCCGTTGACCGGAAGTAGTAATTTACGCTATTTCCGTTTTCTCAAATAGGTTGGGGTATTATAGTCGTTTACTAAAACGAATCAGGGGTTCCGCCGGCGCTACGGTCGGGTGCGATTTAACGCCGCGAGCTGATTGTGTTTGTGTTTGTTTTTTTCTTGTGTATTTGTGAGTTGCGTTTGTGTTTTTGTTTATCTTTTTTGCGTTTGCGTTTGCATTGTATTTGTGTTGTGTTTGTATTTTCTTTTTGTGTTTATTTTTGCGTTTTCTTTTGTGTTTGGGTTTAGTTTTGTTATGTTCCCAAGTTGGTAAATTTAAAAAAAAAATCACAGTGGCGGAGCACGTATATGCAGCTTTTTGTTTTTGCGTTTGTGTTATGTTTGTGTTGTGTTTGCGATGTGTTTGTGTTTACTTATGTGTTTTTGTTTATTTTTATTCATGATGTTTTTGAAGATGAGAATAAAGAAAAACTAAATGTCACAGTAGTTCATTTTGTTGTAACAAGTTATAACGTAGATTGAAACATTTGTAAAATTTTTAAAAAAAGAAAACTTAATGTTTGTGTCATTTACTGTAATTAATGATTTTAAAGACCAAATTTAATGATCACAACGGTATAATAACACCCCAAAATCTACTGATTATCTTCTACTCAGACTTGCCAGATAAGGAAGTGGCAGGCCAAAGTAAAAAAAAAAATCGGACTTTTGCCGGTCGACAGCAAATGATATTGGCAAATGCCAATGCCTACGGACATTACACGAACTAAAACAGCCTATAACGTGTATGTGAGGTATCAATTAAAAAAATAATTGAAAATTCATTATAAGCTTTTTATATTATTTTTTTTTAAATCATACGATATTTATCATCAATATGTTAAGAAAAAACCCATTGCTTACATGCATCGTTCGGGCAGGTGACTATAAATTCTTCATCGTAGTTGGGATTGACTGATTGAGTGGAGAAGTAGATTGTACAATAGTTATAAGCGAGGTGGAATTCATAGTTGTAGCATTTATCTTTGTTGACACATGCCAGAAAGCACTCCTGCACGAAAAATGTCACTCTCTTTAAAATGTTTACCATTATCTTATAGTATTAAATTCACAGACAAAAATATCGATTCATTGCTACAATTCAGTATGGTATAATATTAAATTTACTGACAAAAATATCGATTAAAAACATTATTTTGACAGTAAATTTTAAGATGTTTTTTGTGTGTTACCCGCTAATTGATTTCATCATAAGGCCTACCGCCTTGTACCAAATGACGCTACTTCTCCAGCCCCCCTCCTCCCCCCTCTCCCCGAATAACATTATGAATTCAGAAAACTAAAACGTTTGTGTCTTATGTCTGACTACATAGCAGTTACATTAAATAGTAAACCTCATGCTTAAAAAAAGGTACAATAATTACAAATCAGGGCTATTCTATGGTTTTGGAAAAAGTAGTGGAACTTCCCCCCCCCTTCCCCAGAATAAAGTCTGCCGCCCCCCCCCCCCTCCTTCATTCCTCCGAACGAAATGGAATTTATACAGAAAATACATACTTTACCAGTAACCGCCTTCCCTCCCCCCCCCCGGAAAATTTAATCCGCCCAAACATGTCGTGCCCCGCCCCCCTCGAAAAAACACTGCTTCAATGACATATGCAATCCTCTTTTTAGGTTGACATTAATGAATATTATCTTGTAGTTGTATAGTTGATAATATTCTTTAAAATTTGAAGATACAAAATTTATAACATTACATCAAATAAATATTGCTAAATAACAGAGGATACATTTTAAAAAAAATCACACAGCAAAAATTAAAATATAAAAAGTAGCTTACACTTTGAGTTGTGAAAGTATAATCTTTGGAATCAAAATTTGACATGGTGTTTGATGTACATTGACCAGAGCCTAAAATGTGTACAAATGTGTACAGATGAAAATACATGAACATAATTATAAAAATGTGTAGATCTACATATGAAAATACATTTACGTAATTATAAAAATGTGCATAATTAAAAGAAAAGGAACACGCACATTTATATGTAGGCTTTATGAATACTTGATGGTGCATGTTCGTGTGCATGTACGTGTACGTTTATGTGTACGTGTATTGGTATATTTAAGTCCTGACAAGGGGGGGGGGGTCTAAAACCCTAAATCTCAATCTGCTCCTAGGACTATTTTACTATTGGGCGTCAGTGGTTAAACTCTAAACATAGTCTAGAAACAAATGAAAATCCACTAGACATAAACTTTATTTAAAAAAAATGCTTGAACCTTCTTCTTCGTTCTTAATTTTTTTTGTTGGAAGGGATCGAGCCTTATATGCCAGAGGGTTTGAACTCGAGACTTTTTCAAATTTATCAACCATGAACTTTTTGCCGACTCGACCACGCCTCCATCACAAATAAGGATACGTGTCAACTGGTTATGCGCCATTGAGGCCATTGACTCCGATTTCAGCCTGCTTTTCTTTTTGGATTTGCTTTCATAGATTTGTCCAACCAAGAACAAACTACAAGGCAGCAGTTGTTTGATTTTGGAGTTGTCCCTCCTAGAAGAGTGGCTGTCCCCAGCTAACGAGCCTAATCTGCCCGATGGTTCGAACTCGAGATTTTTCGGTTTAGCAACCTGAGCTTTACCGACTCGACCACGCCGACCCGAGATGCTGGAACCAATCAACTAGATTTAAAATAAACTAAATAAATCTAAAATCTGGACCTACATTTTGTCGAGCTAAACACATCAAACGAAACAAAACAAACGTATAAAAAAACAAGACGACAAAACACAAACCAAAACACAAAACACCCAGGCAAATTACGAGGGGCTGCACAATATGCTTAGATCAACTGACTACATTCTCGATGTTCTAAGCAGGGAAAAAGGTTACTCGGTCTTATATAGCAACCTTGCAAGGAAGCGACGTAGCCTACGCCCACTACACTGTTCCCACACAGATACGCACACTTAACAAAATAAAATTACTAGTCTTTCCACCCGCTCACATATACGTATACATATTTTTATAATTGTAGAACATAAGGTATAATAAATCATATATAATAAATATATATATTATACATAATTGGGTGTTTATGTTTGCATTTGTTACCTTTGATGCTTATGTCTACTGATTATACTTACTTTGTGCCTGGCATGCTGTAAAAAGGATTACAGCATAAGTTATCACGTGTAAAGCAGCAGTATGCATTTTCCGGAACTTGCGATTTCTGTCATACAATTTTAAAGTATTAATTGTTTAATGGAAGCTACTGAAATCATTTACAACTTTTTATGTCAGCTTGTTAAATAATTAACAACATTTCGTGGGAATTTCAACAACTTTTTAAGAATTTTTTTAATTTTATAGCTGCCACAATCATTTACAACATTTCATGTGAGATTCAACAACATTTCAGAATATTTTGTTTTGGAGATACCACAAACATTTACAACATTAAATGTGACATTCAACAGCATATCAGAATCATTTTTTATGGAGCTACCACAATCATTTAAAACATTTTGGCTCGTTTTTTTTTCGAGTGAGAAATATTAACACAGGCTTCAAATATCGTAGATACATTTTATAATATCAACAATAATAATAATTTAAAGAAAGTCATCTAAGCGCCGAATCCCCCCCCCCCCCAAAACGACTTGGTAATATAAAACAAAAATGCTTTTTGCATCGTGGCGGCACTTCAGTTCTAACATAAAAGCATTTTTAAATTTATGTTTGCTTTTTAGCGCGTGCGCAACAAAAGAGGGATATTGGATTTTGAATAAAGCGGGAGTGATCTCCCCTAAACTTTCTAATATATTTTTCTACACCAAAGGTTTAGTTAAGGAGATAAAGAAATGTTATTATTTAATTTTTAAATACTTGAAAAAATAATTGCTCAACAAATGATCGTAAACAATAGCAGTGTATAGCAGCGCGGAAAATTAGTAGCTTTATAAAGTAAACATTGATTAATATTTTTTTTTAAATTTTAATTAAACATCTTATAAAGTAACATTTCATGTGTATTGTTATCGCGACAAAAATAACGTGGAAAAGTTTAAAACAAATGTGTCAGCTAGATATCTTTTTGAGAAATCAGAAATGATGTAAAATATCACTTTCGGTTACCGGAAATCCCAAAAATTTGAAAAAAAAGGACATTAAGAGAATAAGATCTTATACCTTTGTGTTCAATAGTGTGGAAACTGAAACGGCTATCAGTAATTTAGAACGGGGAAAATGGTAAAGCACCATTTTCGGGTATCAGAGGTCATTAAAAATTTGAAAGTAATTCAAATATAAGATCTTATACTTACATATAAAATGTCGTCTACTTAACTAAAAATAGGATGTTTGCGTTCCCACGGAAATATTGTAAAACAACTTTCCGTTTCCGAAAATTGCTCACAAAATTGAAAGAAAACTTCGCATACAATATAATACTTACATTAAATTTTTTTAGGCCTATCTTAAAAAATATTCAATGTAAAGGATTTTTGAGAATCATGAAACACAGTAAATACCAATTCCGGTTGACCCAGAAAGAAAAAAAAAACAAGCTGAAATCTCAGTCAAATATCGCATGTTGACCTCTTGTGCTTTATTTTGTTTGAAAAAATCCCTTTCAACATTACAATTAAGAACAAAGAAGAAGAAAAAACTGCTAATTACACGTATAATGGTTGCTTTGTTATAGTCTCATTGATATTTCAAACTTGAAATCCATTATTTATTTTAAAAATTTGATCTTAAAAGAAGCATTTAGCTGTTTTATAATACAATTTATTTATTTTTTAAACGGGATATTATAATTCTTTAATTATACTTTTCTTTCGACAAAATAAAAAAAAATCCATTATATATAATGAAAAATAGTAATTAGTAACATTGTTTTCAATACATCACAAAAAGCGGATGTAATGTGTCAATTAAAAATAACAAAACATGTGTAAAAAAATAATGTGCTGAATAAATTGTATTGTTTAAAGTTTAAAGTGATAGATTCTGCAACATCATTAAACATAATTAAGTAGTCTAGTACAAAAATATTTTACTTTAACATTCCAGATGGACAAAACATAAATATTCGACTGTATATGTTTTGGATTTCATACATTGTAATAACACTAGAAATTTAAAAAAAGTACTGTTTATATTTGAAACTAAAAACTGAATAAAAATCAAACTCATAATTTAATTATACATCAAGAATTAGCAGAAAGTCAATCTCTATCACAAATTAAAATCCAAACAGCAATAGGAAAATTAACTTTATATATTAAGAATATTTAGAAAATAGAACAATATATAAAATTCTAAATAATGAGCGTACAAACAAACAAACTCACCAGAGGTAGATGATGTACTAGCTTGAAACGTGAGAATACAAAGAGGAGCAAGGAATGCTGGGTGTTTTATAGGGTCTCGTTTAGATTCAGGAGCCAATCAAAACACTTGGCGAAAATCAAACTACAAGCTATAAAAAAATCAGAGGTGTCGCCAGATTTTAATACTATATTATTTAGACAGGTCAAACTAAGAGTTACTTTATAAGGTAGCGCATAAATATTAATTTAATAACTGTTTTTAGAAAAAATTATAGGAAATTTATTTATAGGAAAACAAACGAAAGCTTAGTAACATTTTTAAAAAAAAAGAGGGATGGAAAATTTCACCCTTGTGCAAATACAAACACGTATACGCCTATGACTTGAAGTATCGTAAATCCAGCTGATGACATATTGATTATGAATCTATGATTGACATACTGGTCCCGCCCACGAAAAAGTAAAAAACAAAACGTAGGGGTGGGGATGGTGAGTTTTATGAGGGTTAATCCCGTCCCCGCTCTCCCTCACCCAAGCTAGTGGAGATAATGGGCTTGCGTGATTTATTCAAAATTTTAGAATTTTGAAAATTATATATATATATATATATATATATATATATATATATATATATATATATATATATATATATATATATATATATATATATATATATATATGTATATATATAGAGATATATATGAGTGTGTTTGTGTGTGTGTTTGTGTGTGTGTGTGTGTACACATGGGCGCACACCATGGCATATATCTTTCATTTCTCCCTTTGACTTAACGTGCGGATGCCCCAGGCCTTACCATCTCACTACCATGTAGTTTTATAATATCAAAAACGTATTCGACCATCTTGTTCGGCATCAGTCTTTAGAGGTCCAGAAAATCAAGAGAGAGCGTTTCCTAGCTCCCGCTGTTCATCCCACAATACTTTGTCAACAAACAACCCTTCGTCGACACACAATCATGTGTCAACCCAGAATCTTTCGTCAACAAACAATCATTCTTCAACCCACAATCTTTCGTCAACACACAATCATTCTTCAACCCACAATCTTTCGTCAACACACAATCATTCTTCAACCCACAATCTTTTGTCAACACACAATCCTTCTGATAGACTGTATGATTGGGACACAACGTGATAGGGACTGTCAACGATATTTTTATTGATCCTGACGGATGAGTTCTTTGAACGTTTACTAGATTCGCTAACACACAATCATTCACCAAACACAATCCCTTGTCAGCACACAATCTTTCAGATGAATTGTAGGCTTGTAAAATAATGTGAGCCGAGCTGTCTAGAAGTTTTTCGTTAATCCTGATAAATTAGCTTTTTAAAATTTTTATTTACTTTTAATAGCTTTTTTATATATCTTTCTAGCTTCGTCAACACACAATCATTCGTTTGCACGCAATCCTTCAGATTGAATGTTGGCTTTTGAGACAACTTGAGCGGAGATGTCTCAAGATATTTTTACTCATCATTAGAGATGAGTAATTTGTACATTTAAAAAAAAAATTATTAATTGTCTTAAATGTAAATTTCTTAATTCTTTAACACAATCATTCGTCAACAAAAAATTCTTTGTCAACACTGAATCTTTCGTCAATACCGAATCATACGTCAACACACAATCATTAATCAACGCACAATCATTCATCACTCATACGTCAGAGCACTATCGTATTTTAATACACAATCATTCGTCAACAAACAATCATCCAGATGGATTGTAGGCTTGTGGGATAATGTGAGCGCAGCTGTCTCAGGGTTTTTCATTGATCCTGAGAGATTAGTTCTTTGAACGTTTTTATTTACTTATAATTGACTTTAATATAAATTACTATATTCGTTCACATCCAATCAATCGTCAACACACAATCCTTTATCAGCACACAATCAATCGTCAACACAAAATCCTTTATTAGCACAGAATCAATCGTCCACAATCCTTTTCAGAATACGTTTAATCGTTAACACACAATCCTTTATCAGCACTCAATCAATCGACAACACACAATCATTTATCAGCACATAATCATTCGTCAACACACAATCCTTTGTCAGCACACAATCATACGTCAGCAGACAATCATTTGACATCACACAATGAACCATCAACACCCAATCATACATTTACACACAATCCTCTTTAAACATTCATTGAAACCCTGAATTCATTGAAACCCTGAGATTTGTCCATGACAAATGATCTCAGGACAAATGATCTCAGACAAAATATCTCAGACAAAATATCTCACGGACAAATGATCTCAGGACAAATGATCTCAGGACAAATGATCTCAAGGACAAATGATCTCACGGACAAAAGATACCAGGACAAAATGTATCAGGACAAATGATACCATGGACAAATGATCTCAGACAAAATATCTCAGACAAAATATCTCACAGCGAATTTTTAATAGTATGTACGATGATTTTAGTTGAACTTTTTTATTGATTGTTACTATGGTTTTGTTTACTTTTTACGTATAATAATTATGAATAAAATGAATTAGTGAAACCTAACAAAACATCAAAAGGTGTATTAAACTTTGTAGTAGCATTTGGTTTGAAAAAGTAAAAATTAAAACAAACTTACTCTTTTACTCTTTTAGCCCGAAAGGTATAATAAGTGATAATGTATAAAACAAATAAAGTAACGGTAGCTATACAACATTAATGTTCATATCACGCGAAATATCTTTCAAAAATGTGATTGGGTCTGAAGGTTCGTAACGTTAAACTATTGTTTTTATTACATCATCAACACAAACATAACGTTTACGTTTCTTTTCTGGTAGGTACATCGTTATGATCACACCTCTCCAATACTATGTGACCATCTATTGTGTGAACTCTTGCTCGAC